CCCCGCCCCACTATCACGCAGAATCTGCGGGGTCTGAAGCGGCCCCGCAGCTGCCCCCTGGGGCGAGGCACCAGCCGGTTATCGGCAAGCCCGTTGGTGCCTGGCCTTACTTTGCCAGCCCGGGCTTATTGGTTCGCTGAGACTATTGCATTCACCTGTCAACTGTAAATCGGGGACGAGCGCCAGGTCGGCGCCATGCGCATTATGTGGCTGGAGCGGACCTTCACCACCCTACTGCGGGTCGAGGAGGACAGCCGCGTGCCGGACTGCCTCGTCACCACCTTTGACCTCGTGCGCAGCGTGAGTGGCGGCGCGGCGCGGCGCGGCGTGGCTCGCGGCGGCGCGAGCAGTCGCGTTGGGCGGCCTTGTCTGGAGCGTAGCGGGGTGCAATTTTCGCGATGGAAGCAATTTGGTCCCGCACCCTGACAAGGTTGACAGAGCGCTGCGCAAAATGAGCGCGGTTGTCTCGCCGCGGTGCTGTCGTCGCATCGTGTGATGACGTCATCAACCCCCTGGTCAACTCCCTGGTCAAACAGGACGTACTGTCGAAGTTCCACGGGTCATGGCACCTGCGGCCCATAACAGACCCGCAAACCGGGGAGGTGGTGGGCTGCAAGGGGGAGCTGCACCAAGACGTGCTGCCACGCGGTGAGGGGAAGGGGGCGCGGTCGCGGGGTGTATCTGTAATGTGTTTTTGTGTGTGTGCATGCTAGTTTGCGTGCATGCGCAGGTTTGGGTGTGGGTGTGTGTGCGCGCGCATTCGCGTCGAGCTCGCTCCTAAAACGCCATGCGCCGTGGGTTTGGGGCCGCTAGAACCCGCGAGCGCGCCGCGCCGCGTCCCTGACCGCACTCGCTTCGCCCCGGCCCCCAAACCCCCCAACCTCGCGCGCCAATGCGCCCCCAGGCGTGCCTACGTTCCTGTCGCACCTGCCGCTCCTGGGCGGGCTGCTGCGCGGCGCGAGCCTCAACACCATCCGGCGTCTGGTGGATGACATGAAGGCTCTGGTGGAGAGGGTGGGTTCAAACAGGCGGTTCGGATTTAGGGTTTAGGGTTCAAAGGGGGGCGGGGGTGTCAACGGGTGGATGACACCCCCAAAAGTGGAGTGTCTATGGGTGGACGACATGAAGGGCCTTATGGAGAGGGTGGGCCCCAATGGGGCGCGAGGGGGGGGGGTGGGGGCGGCCTTGGCGTCCACAGCTGCATGGACCCTTGGCTCTGCCACACGCGCGAACGCTGCCCTTAGAACTGCAACAACACACACAAACATACACACGCACACGTACGTCCACACACACACGCACACACACACACACACACACAAACACACACACATTTACGCAAACTCTCTCTCACGTGCACGCGCTCACATGCACAGGTGGTGGCCAGCGGCAAGTCTGTTGGGGAGGTGATTGATGAGGTGGCTGTGGAGAGGGGCCACGCACACCAGCACGGCGACAAGCAGGACTGGTGCGATGCGGGCAGGGGTGGGGGCCCTCGCATGGAGCAGGTTGGGGCCGGTGCGGTGCTTGCATGGCTTGCGCTGCTCTGTTGTGCGGCTGCAGAGCCTGAGTGATTGTTGCGGACTGAGAGCAAAGTCGTTCACCGAGTGCCGACGGGGTGTTGCGCCGCTGCAAACGCCACGTGGGACCTGGCAGGGGCGGCAACGAGGCCGTTGAGTCTTTCAGGATCAGCGACGCCGTCATCAGCGATGACGAGGATGAGGGCGGCCACAACCACCACCACCAGCAGCGGCAACAGCAGCAGCAGCAGCAGGAGGCAGCGGCGCCCGGAGGCGCCGAGGCCGGCGGCGGCGGCGGCGCCGACGCCGGCGCGCCCGCAGTGGCGGTTGAGGCGAAGGCGTGACGGCCCGCGGCGGCAAACGTCAGCCGCTGCTTGGCCCCTGCCCGGCCTTGGCGGTCGCCGGGCAGGCCCCCTGCCCCGCTTGGGCGGGCTCTTGTGGGGATAAGGGGTTCACAAATGGCACAGCTGGCTGCTGCCAAGGGCGACCTTCAGCCAGTAAACGGATGCGGTCGAGTGATAGCCCGCACAAGTGCCCCCGAATGCTGGGGCGCGGCGTCTTTGCTTGCCCGCTGCGAGCGGGCGCGGGCGCGCGCGTGGACGCGCGGCGCGAATGCACTGCTCTCATAGAGAACTGCAGGTGCAGGGGCCCGGCAGGCAGAGGCCCTCCTCCCTTGTTTCATCACGGCTGCGACCGTGGGCCACGCCTCCCCCCTCCTCAACCCCACTCGCTGCATGGCATTATTTTATGCCCTCCAAGAGGGCATTTAGGATACAACTATTTATATGCGTGTGTGTGACGTAAGGATGCTCCGAAACCCAACCCCTGCGTCCGGGCTGCCCGCCCAAGATTGCAGCCGCCGCCTAGCCTGGCCGCCGCGCCCAGGCGCCGAGGCCCCTTGGCACGGCACACCCAGCGCCGCACGGGAACGCCCTCGCTCCCTGCCGCGACCGGCGCGCCCCGTTGCGCCTGACACGCGTGTATATCACACCTGTGCCGGTCGCGCCGCTTTGGCGGTTGCCCTGCCGCAATGCCGACAGCCGTAACGCACCCCGCTCCTCCTGCAACCCTGGGCCGCCCCTGGTCGCTGAACCCGCACTGTGTTGTTGCTTTTCAGGACTGCTGCTTTGCTGCACACAAGCCGCTGCACGCGCGGCTGCTGGCTCCAAGCTTTGCCGTTAGGCTGGCCGGGCGCGGCGCGGCCGGCGCATGCCCAATGATCGGTTTGAGAGCGCTTTGCTCCTGCAGTGGGCACACCGCCCTGCTGTGAAGTTGTCGCACTTGGTAACAAATTTACACTTTGAATCACTGTTTATGTGGGTGCTTGTCGAGACAGGCCAAGCAGGGCATTCCATAACAAACCCTTGCTGCAGTGGCCGGGCGCTTTTTCGCACGCTCGCCTAATCGTACTGTAATAGGACAGGGAATGGGCCCTGCCAATGCCACTGCCGATGCCGCAAGGCAGGGAGCAGGGGAGGTGCGCTGGCCCTGCCCCAAGCCTGCCAACCCAGGGGCCAGCTCGCCTGGTGTCTTGTATGTAGCTGCAACCCGGGCGGGGCGGCGCTAGCC